CTGAGCCCTCACAACCAACCTCCCAACCTCATGCATCTCCTTCCTCTCGGCTTCTCTCCATTCCTTTCCCTCCCTCGGCTTCAAACACCAAACCAACCTTCCTCATCTCATTTCTCTCTCTCCACAGCACAACCACCCCCTCAACACCATGCACACACCACCCCCAAGCAACCAACCTCCATTCCCCAAACCAACCACTCTCGGCATATCTCTCTGCAACCCAAAACACCAACCCCACAACCTCATCTCCATAAACCATGCATGTATTTCAACACCACCCCATCAACCACAAACCAACCTCTCGCAGCCAACCATGCAAACCAACTTCTCTCTCTTCCACCATCCTTCCTCTCAACCCCAACATCAACCAACCAAACCCACAACCCAACACCACCATGCTCGGGCACCCCTCCTGCATGCACACATCTCTCGGCATCTTCCACCATCTGTCTTCCTACAGAAATTAATAGTACTAATAATAATAATAATACTAAATAAATAAATAAATTTTTTGGCGTTATTTTGTTTTGCATTTTACGCTTATGGCTAATGTCAGCATTTGTCTTTTGTTTGGATTTTTTATCTTGCACTAAAATTTAGGTTAGTGTTTTAATTTCTGTTTTGGTTTTTCTTACAAGACCTATGCTTTTACCTGTGTACATTAGTTGTGTTTTGATAGGTCTTCATATCCAAGTTTGGGGGACGCCATTGCGCACTCACATGGCTGAACATCTACGTCGTCGTCACTCCACTTGGTATTATTGTTCCTTTCCCCCCTTTTTACTCTTATTTTGATTTACTTGTCTTCTCACATTGAGGACAATGTGACATTCAAGTTTGGGGGTGCATTTATGCATTTTTGGTTTCATAATTTTTGCTAAGCAATGATAGTATAACTTGGAACTTGTCGGAGACAAAGCATATGTTTAATACCTTGTGTATAGAAGTAATGGACATTTTTGAAAATAAAGAAAAATTTGAGTTGAAATGATCATGTTGATTCAAATTAGTCTGTATAAATGTCTCAATTAGATTCTTGCTGGATTTGACACTCTTTTAAGCTTCACAATGCACAGATGCACATTGGAAACTTAACTGTGAGGCATGCAACTTAATCGACCTTGACTTTGGCCTAGTTGATCTGATTTGATGAACCTAATAGATGAATATCTTTGGCATGATTTAAGTTGTCTAAAAAAAAAAATAATAAAAAAAATAAAAAAAATAAAAAAAAAACTGAGAAAGAAAGAAAAAATGACCAGTTGACGTTCGTAGCCTTTCCAACTCGAGCTATTAAGCCCTTTGGAGTGTCTCTTCACTAAACACCCTGAAGCCATCTGGTTTGGGAGTTGTTGGCCTAACGCTTGCTACAAGGGTTGGTTAGAAAGCTTAAAGGACTTAAACATTGCACGGTCATTCAAAAAAATTGTAATAAACATGGTTCGCTAGAGTTTGTAGCCTTTCCAACTTGAGCTATTAAGACCTTTGGAGTGTCTCTACACTTAACACCCTAAAGCCATCTAGTTTGGGAGTTGTTGGCCTAACGCTTGCTACATAGGTTGGTTAGAAAGCTTAAGGGACTTTAGCATTGCACAACCATTCTATGTTTCGCTTATGAGTTGCAATAAATTGTCAACAAGCAACAAAAGTTGTCTTGTAAATAAAATCATGCCTTAGGGACCTCATTTAAAGGGGAATTCAATGATTTGAAAACTTGTGCCTTGGAATTGGAAAAGAAAGTAAAAGCCGCATGTTGAGAATCCAATTCACTTTCACTGAAGTAGAGTTGATTTCCATTTAAGAGATGACAATTGAGTTATTTATATGGATGATGATGTTGATGCATGTATGTGGAAATGTATTTAGCCAATTTTTGTATCAATGCTTTATATATGCAAGGTAGTTTTCCCAATGACCCCATCTCCAGTTTTTGTCTGTTTCAAGTTGTATTTGAGCTATGTATCTATCTCATTTTACCATGGATGATATTTTTGTAGTAGCATGCCCATGGTTGTCTTTTCATTAAGTTTTTCATTGTAGTTTTGCTAAGGGACTAGCAAAATGTAAGTTTGGGGGTGTGATAAGCGCCGAATATTGTATATTCAAGCGCCCTAAATTGCATTAGTTAAGTCCATCGTTTGATTATTTAAGTAGATTATCTTCATTTGTCTGTATGTATATATTTTCAGGTCCATTTGCCAAAAAAGGAGCAAAATCAAGGCTTTGTGGAGTTTTGGCCATCAAAAGGCACAATTCTGAATTTCTGGCAGCAGTGGAGTCAGGACTTTGCTAGCCATTTTGACCTTGCAAACTCGAGAACTGGACTTCCATTATAAAATGGCATATTTAGAGCTCTGAATCAAATTTCTAAATCTTTAAGCGGTTCATCATTCAGAGCTCAGAGCAGAGAGTTATGGCCTTGTTACCAGAGGTGCGCAGAACTGCCTGGTAGTAATGAAATTCTGCCTTGATCTTCATTTTTGACCAACCATCCTTGAGAATTGGATCTCTACCAAAACATGAAGTTTTTAGAGCTCTGAATTAGCTTTCCAAATCTTCAAACGGTTCATCATTTGGAGTTCAGAACGCAAAGTTATGGCCGTTTTACCAAAGTAGGTCCGGGCGGAGCAAACCAAGCATAGGGCATTCTGGCCAATTTTTGAGTGCTTGAGGCCTTATTTCGAGTGCTCGAAATTAGGGTAGATTGCTTCACGAGATCAGCAGTGGATCCTGAACTTTGCTTACCATTTTGACCTTAAAAGCTTGAGAACTGGACTTCCATCATAACATGAAAGATTTAGAGCTCTGAATTAGCTTTCTAAATCTTCAAACGGTTCATCATTCGGAGCTCGGAGCAGAGAGTTATGGCCTTGTTACTAGAGGTGCGCAGAACTGCCTGGCAGCACTGAAGTACTGCCTTTCTCCCCATTTTCGACCAACCAGACTTGAGATTTGGGTCTTCATCAAAACATGAAGTTTTTAAAGCTCTGAATCAGCTCTCCAAATATTTAAACGGTTTGTCATTCGGAGTTCAGAGCGCAAAGTTATGGCCATTTCATCAAAAGTAGGTCTGGGCAGAGCAAGTGAAGCATGGAGCTTTTTACACTAAATTCGAGTGCTCGAGGCCCTATTTCGAGCACTCGAAATTTTGGCAGTTTGCTCCATGAGACAGCCCACTTGTGCTCTAAAATTTCCAATTTTGGATGGCCCTCTTTTATGAGGTGGTTGGGGATGTTTTTGGAGGAGAGAGAGGGCCTAATTTGGTGGTAGATAAGAGGGATAAGAGCCACACATTTCAGAATCCTACATTTCTACAAGATTAGAAGAGAGAGAAGAGAGCAAGGAGGGAGAGTTCTTCAAGCTTGAAGAAGGGAGCACGAAAATGGAGGAGGTCTTCAAGCTTCTTCCTTCTTCTATTGCTCCTATGGGTAACTAAATCTTCTCTAGGGAGGTGATGAAGCCTCCTCTTTTGATCATGTTCTAGATTAGGCTATACTTTTGGGGACTATAATGTATAATGTATGGTAGTTTCATAGTCTAAGAGCATATTCCCTCTTGTAATGAATTTTAATGTGTAAATGGTTGATGTAAGTTCATTGTCATATCTTTGATGATTCTTGGATCAATCTTATTGCTTTTATTTTCATAGTGACAATGAACATATAGACTATGAATGTTTTTTAAGGCATGTTGATTTTGAAACTTGATATTTCATTGCTTAGGTACCTCCTTTGATGGTTTATACTTGATTCCTACCTTCATGTGCTTCACCAATCATTGAAAGCTTGATGGTCTTTTGCTTGAGATAGTGTATTTGATTCTACACCTTAGTTTAAGTAGTTCAACTATGGTAGCTTTTGATGGATCATTCTTGTTTTGATTAAATGAACTTCTTGATGATTATTAAGCAACGGAGTTGCTTCATATTTTTTGACCATTGCATATATGCTATTTATCCCCAAAATTTAGACCTAATCTAGCATGTACTTAGGGTGTAGTGTGGATTCATCTACTTAGTCTTTTCTACTTGTATCTCACTTCTTCAATTTTATTGCAATCTATTGTTTTATGCATTTTAATTTCTTAGTTTAGTGACAAACACACAAACCCTTTATAAACCCCTCATCACTCTAGAATGATTTTAGACATTTAGGTTGCCTTAGACTAGCGCAGTCCCAGTGGTTCGACTTACCCGACCAATAGCCCTATTTTACCATGATTCGTGCTATTGCGAAGGTTGATGTATAGTTGATCAACCGATCACATTCCCCATTGTCAAGTGAATGGGCAAGGTCTCCTACATGGTGGAGCTTCCACCCAAGTTGAAGATACATCCAGTCTTCCATGTCAGCATGCTCAAGCCTTATCATGAAGTAAGAATTTTTGCCAAATTATTTGATGCCATGTGGCTGAATTAAAATTTACTTTTAGGGTGTAAACATGGCGTTTGCCTATTCATTTTATGTACATGAAAAATGAAATGTAAGATGAACTTTGCTGCTCTGTCTACTACTCTTCTTCCTCTGTGTTTTTTTTTATTTTTTTTTATTTTTTTTTATTTTTTCACTCTAAATACATGTGTTGATCTGAGTCACATGGATATTCATTCTTCGTCCTTTATTTGCTGTCAAATTATTCAAGAATTTCTTTTCCCTCGTTAATCAATAGTGTTATCTCTCTTGTACCAAACATAAGCGTTGAATGAGCTGTATAAAAAGGTCCTTTGAACATCACACGTCATGTATGACCCCGTGTCACTAAATGATGATGTGTAGAGTGACATCCTATAAACTATAAATATATAATGAAATGGTTCTCTATACAATGTTTCAGATTTTTAAAATATGATATTGTTGATGGTCAAAGCACATATTTGCATATTAATAAAATAAAGAAAGCCGAGGAGGCCAATTTATATTCAATCTTATGCAACATGGCCCATTGTATTTAGACGGGAAACCATGTACGTCATACAAAAACGAAAACATGATGAATTGGCTCTACCTGTTAATGAATGGTTAACCTTTCAGTGCTCCGCAGAGCTTTTTTGTATCTTTAACATTTCTACCTATATATATCTATAATATTTCTATGTTGCACATTACATTCAACACTAGTCTTCTTCAACCTTTGGATATGACTATCTTGAAAATCAACACTCCTTTCTCAAATGCTACTACGCTCTTCTCAAATGGTTAGTAATTAATCTTCTTATTTCTTCATTGGCTATTTTTAATTTTTTTTACAAATTTTTATTTATTTATTTATGTAATGAACATTGTCCTTAATTGATTGCAGGAACCTCTGTGAGTGCTTCTGCTGATTTTTCCAGGACTGCTGTGATGAGATTCTTATATCACCGATCGTCGGAGTTGTCGTGGGTCATGAGAGATGGCTCAGGATGTAGGCTTGCTTGCAGGACTCAAAGAATTGTGACAAGTAATCAATTTTTATTTTTATTTTTATTTTTAATTTCTTCCCATATATTTTTAAATTCTAACAAAATTTCCCTAGTAGTTGTGTGGCTATATAAATCTTGTTTTAAATGGAACTTTTTATTTTTATTTTATTTTATTTTTTTGGTTTCAAACGTGTAGGAAAGAATAGGAGAGTGGAAGTAAAAGCCTTTACAGAAGAGCAGGAAGCTCTGGTGGTGAAGTCGTGGAGTTCAATGAAGAAGAATGCTGGAGAATTAGGTCTCAAATTCTTCTTGAGGTAATCAAAATTTTATATTTATTAAATATATGTTGTACTAAGTTATTGCTTTTACCATAAATAAATTCAATCTTTTGAGAATTAATTGTGCGTTGGATTGTATTCGTAGGATATTTGAGATCGCACCATCAGCGAAGAACTTGTTCACATTCTTGAGAGATTCAGATGTCCCTCCGGAGCAGAACCCAAAGCTCAAACCCCATGCCATGACGGTCTTTGTCATGGTTAGTCTATTTAATTAATTTTTATATATTTATTAAACTCATCCTTTCCATGGTGGGGCAAGGGGACCAATTATTTAGTAGACCTAACATTGCATAATCTTCGTCAGTTCAAAATAGGAAACTCACTCCTCATGCAATTGTAAGACTTTATACATTATTTAATCCTTTTCAGATAAGATAAAAAAAAAAGAAAAAAAAAATTGTAAGAGAGGGAGCTGACTTGAATGTGGTATTATTATAAATTGAGTGAGGCATTTTTAGGAGTTTTACCAAAAAGCAAGGACACTTTTAAAATTAAATAAAGTATATATATGTTTGGGGAACTGTGTGCGTGTGTATATATATATATATATATATATATATCAAATTTTAATGGGTTGTTTTTACGTGGATAATTTTTTCCGAAAATGTGAGAATTGTTGGATAATTGAGGCTAATATAGTAATATGATATGTATATTACTTTGCAGACGTGTGAAACAGCCGTGCAACTTCGGAAGGCTGGCAAGGTCAATGTGAAAGAGTCAACTCTGAAAGATTTGGGTTCTTCTCACCTCAAATATGGTGTGGTTGACGAACATTATGAGGTCATAATTGTTAATTCTATTTAGTAGCAATATGCTAATGTTTTTACCAAGGTGATAATGTGATAAGTATAATTTTGTTAGGATAGTCATACTCTTCAGTAAGTATTTTCAATTAAGTTCTTAATTCCACAAACCCTGAAGTCATTTTCTAATATAAAATAAAATTTTATACTATATATTTTGATACAACTTATATATATATGTGTACACACACTTAAATCTACATAAACTTGACTTAAATTCCTGAATTCGCTAATTTTTAAATCAGTAAAAAAGAGGGGAAAAAAGTGAATAGAATTTGATAATTTATTAATTGTACACGAATACACTACAAATTAAAAAAATTGTGGAACTTTTTGCACTTGTTTTAATATTTATTTTTTACAATTGGTGAATTAAAAAAACTTGTTAAATATTTTAGAATTTTGTTAATTTGTTTGGCAATTAAAACTATGTGCTTCTTCATTATTATTGTAAATTGATACTAATTACAAATAATAGGTAAAAGATATAGATCATATTTTAATAAGAAAAAAGCATTAAGGCATTTACAAGTTTGTAACAAATGGCAATATTGGTGAAAGGAAAAAACATTGTTAATAGCTTTCACCATGATTAAAACATAAATGCCAAACGGGCACTTTATGGTCTTTATAAAAATAAAATTAATTAATTAATTAATTAAGGTTTATTTTTGTTTAAAACTAAAAAAGTAGGACTAAGTGACTAACTAGTAATTTCTAGACAAAAAAAAAAAAAAAAAACCGCCAAAAGATTAGAATAAATAGAATTTATCGATTATACAGGTCTTTTTTTATTTTTTTTTAATATTTTTTAATTTTTTATAGAGGTTAGTAGTTAACATTTTGTAAATGGTTCATATATATATATATATATATATATATATATATATATATATATATGTAGGTCACAAAGTATGCATTGTTGGAAACTATAAAGGAAGCTGTCCCAGAAATGTGGTGTCCAGAGATGAAGCTTGCTTGGGGAGAAGCTTATGATCAGTTGGCCGCTGCCATCAAGAAAGAAATGAAGCCTCCTTCCCAGTTTCCTTAGGAGGAAAAAGAAAATGGAAGAGAATTCGAAAATAAAAGAACCTCCATGTGAAAAAAAAAAAAAGTTTGAGACCTTTCATGACACCATTATTTTGAGAGTTGTAAGATAATTTTGTTCCAACTAAGAAACTTTAGATGTCGCATTTGTTCTTTTGCATGTAAACGAAAAAAGTAGATTGCTTTGCGTGTCCTTTGTCTCGGTATTAGTTATTCATTTTGTGATGATGTTTGGGAAGTTCTCCATCACATTACCAGAATATTCTCGGAAATTTTGCCCATTTGTGACAATTTTCGTATCAAGTGTCCTTTATAAGTGCCACCATAAATAATAAATTACAACCACCAAAAACACAAAACAGCTTAGTGGGTCTTTCATGGGAGATTAAACCATCTCATAAACCATTCATTCAGATAGAAATCTAGAACTTGTAATTCTAAAAACAATTCTCAAGAATTCAGAAAACAGAAAACAGAAAACTGTTCTCAGATTGTTCTTTGAAAACAGACATTTTTATAACTGAGTTTTCAAAAAACAGTTTTTTGAAAACTGAACCAAGCAGAGTTTTTTTATACAGTTTTCTATTTTTGTTTTCTGTTTCAGTTTTTTTAGAACAGAAAACTGTTTCCATAGTTACAAACCAAGCAGGCCCTGAGTTTTCATAAAACAGTTTTTTGAAAACTGAACCAAGCAAGAGTTTTTTGAATTATTTTCTATTTTGTTTTCTGTTTTCGGTTTTTTGAGAACGGAAAACTGTTTTCATAGTTACAAATTAAGCAGGCCTTAGCTAGTTCCCAGTTTTTTGATCCCTAATCAGGCATTGCTTATTCAGAACATCGATTCCCCTCTCACTCAAATGCCCATACCGTATACGTCACAATCTAATAGTATCTAAATTCGAATTCTATACTGCAGCTGAACATATCCTACAACACATATAAACCATGTTGCTTCAGTTCCCTTATCACCAAAACAACACCCTTTGAAACCCAATTGAATCCTAGGGAAATTAGATTCTTCTTCAGTTCTGAAACATACCTGACATCAGTCAATATTCTCAACATGTTTCCATATATCTTGATTTGAACTCTATCGATATCTACAGCCTTGCACAATACATTGTTCTGTGTTGCTCCAAAACGACATTCTCTGCAACTTATTGGAATTCAAAGTTGCCTTCACGTCTTGCATAGACATAACAATTTTGTCATACCTCATTATATCGAACAAAATTCTTATACGAGGGTGGTACAGAACATAACCAAATAATAGTTTGGTCAATCCTCATATGATGTTGAAACATCAATATTAGTAAAGATCCATAATGATATTGTTTACCTCGTGTTGATCCTAAAATTGGCAGGCTATGCCAATTCAAAAATTAGTAAATGCGAGCATGCTAGAACAGACTTGGTTCAAGTTTGCATAAAATAAGTCAAAATTAGTCTCTTTTATGAAATAGTTTGAACATGCGATTATGGAAAGAGATAACATTAAGTTTTTATGATGGGTTCTAAATTGCCTTAGATGAAACAAGACTTAAATTGTGACAGCCCTAGTTTTTCAAGTCAATGCGTCCTGTGATGAACCGAAGATTGACTTGATAACGGATCCGGATGCGAAAGCAAGAAACAAGACAACGGTCTCCCAAGGCACAACACACCTCTAAGACCCTAAGATGACCTTCCATTAGGTCATGGAACCCAAAGGAATAAAGTGCAGAAGTAAGACATAAACAAGTCAATAGAGATGTACTTCATCCCTAAGACACGAGAGTGGTCCTCCGAGGAGTCCCGTGACTCAACAGAATCGAGACCGAAGTTAGGGATTCAAAACCCTCCAAGGAATGGAACAAGGGCAAATGGTCATTCCAAATTGAAATGGGTGCCACCGTGCACACCATTAGAAAGATAACGAAAAATGAATAAAGTTAGACTTAAGAATCACCTGATTCAGAGTCCGGACGGAAAAGATACAAAAATAGAACGAAACGACGTCCTCCGATTAGGAGATACCACAACCCTACAAAGAGGGTCAAATGTGCAAGTCAGTGAGGAAGGGTTGGTCGGTCTGGCTTACAAGGCCAGTCGTTCTGACCTACAAGATCGGTCGTTCTGACCTACAAGATCGGTCGTTCTAATCTACATAGTAGCTCGTTTCGACATACAACGTTAGTTGTTTGGACTCACAAGGTCGATCATTCTAACCTACAAGGTTCGTCGTTCTGACTCACAAGGTCGGTCGTTCTGACCTACAAGGTTCATCGTTCTGACTCACAGGGTCAAGCGTTCGGACTCAAATTGGTCAGGCGTTCAGACTTATATGGTCAGGCGTTCTGACCTACATGGTCAAGCGTTCGAACTTACATGTTTAGGCGTTCTGACCTACATGGTCAAGCGTTTGGACTTACATGGTTAGGCATTCTGACCTACATGGTCAAGCGTTTGGACTTACATGGTCAGGTATTTTGACCTACATGATCAAGCGTTTGGACTTACATGGTCAGGCGTTCTGACTGTCGAACGACGAAACAGAAAGCAACAATTAGCCGAACGACGAAACAGAAGGCAACAATCAGCCAAACGACGAAACAAAAGGCAACAATCAGCTGAACGACGAAACAGAAAACAACAAAAGCTGCTGCTACAATGCATATGGAGGTGTTAGGTCCAACCTTAAGGCTATACATGCATTCCAAATGATCCAAAACAAGTTTAAAACATACTTGTAAACTTTAAAATTAATGGCCCTTGGCCTCATGTTATACATACACATAAAATGAATGTCAAAAGGTGTGCTTAGGCACACATTACATACCCGAATTGAAAAATGACATGTTAAACGAAACATTACATAACGACTGCAAAAGAGAAGATAAACATGCTAACACTTGCATGTGAACAAGAATACAGTTAAAAGAACTTTAAATCTACATATCACCTAAGGCAATTGCAAATTCCCAAATCTTGAATCCTGTACTTGAAAAATGACCCCGATAACTTTGGGGTAAGTAACATAAAGCTACTCGTAGGAGATGATCATGCATAGACCTAACATTTTACAATATTATCACCTTAAGGTGAAACAAGTCAAAGGGGCTCATGCCACCTAATGTCTATGTTAAAATGAGACTCAGGGAGCATCCTAAGCTACCTTAGAGTGTAAATCAACATGAATCATGATATATACATATATGAAACGAATCAAGGTTGGGATAATCCAAAGAACACGACAAGTTTACAATTTAACATGAATCACATTATCAATGTAATTGAACAAGGTTGGAATATTCCATACAACACGATAAGAAAAATACTTGAATATAGATCAACATAAATCGCATTATCAATACAATTAAGCAAGACTTGGAATAATCCATACAACACGACAAGAAGGAGGCTTGAATACAAGGATCACATTATCAATGCAATTAACATGGTTGAAACATTCCAATTAACACGACAAGAAGAATACTCGGATATAAATTAACAAGAATAACATTATTAACGCAATTAACATGATTGGAACATTCCAATTAACAAGACAAGAATAATACAAGAAATCAAGGATAATGTATAATATCTATGCAATTAGACAAGGTTGAAACATTTTATATAACATGAAAAGTTTTAAATCTTCAAGGAATTCAATACTTGAAATTTAAAGAGTGAAATCAATGACACGAAAATGTTTTTAAGTCTTTAAGGAATGGACACTTGAAACTTAAGGATGAAATCAAACAATATGAATACTCGGATATCACCGGGATTATAACCGTACTCTTAGGATTACTTTAGGGCTACTAGCCCATAGGTACCTTCCCTAGTGCGCACTATAATATACGGAGCTCTCTATCTCCCGTACTAGAACCACGTCCTAGCCATGTCAATTCTTGATTGATATCAATGAGTTTCCAAAAACAATAATTTGTGAAAGTCAAGATAGTATCTAGATACAAGTAATGCATTAACCACATTTCATGCACAACCAAGATTTTGGAAACACATAAGTCATGCCCTAGGTTCTCAACTATGATGGCATGTATAATGTCAAGAAATCATAGTATGCATCTACATAGACTACAAATTATGATTTAAAATACAAGGAATCCATTGATATAAATATACAACAAGTATAAGATTAATGATTTAACTATTTACTAAGCAATACATGGATAATTAAATCATTCCAAGGCAATTGTGCAAGTTCATTAAGTACATTGACGAAACCAAGATACAAAGGGTCATGATACTTGATAAAAAGATAAAAGTCCATGAAATATAAGTCAGATTCATATTTTTGACAAGAGTTCAATATCAAGGCATGATTAACTCGATGGAAGCATGAAAGAGAATTTAATCTACCTAAGGGATTAAATTCTCAAGATTACAAGGCAAGTCCAAATATTCTACGGATAAGATGTGTCAAGGATCATGCCAAGGACAGGTTCAATATCAAGTTACAAGTTCATTTCATACTACCTGTCATGCTACCTTACTGACAGGTAAGTGTGGGCGGATTCTGGTTATTGTTCGTTCTACCATGTCATTCTTAGCCATCTGTTTTGATCCGACTTGTCGTTGTCTTGGGATTCTTTCAATTATTAACATTAAGTTAATATACCAATTCGTTTGGGGAGTTGTCTCTCAGTTCTTGGTTTTCGTTTTCCTTCGGATGATCTACAGGCTTTTGGAGTTGCCCTTTAGCACCTTATGGTCTATTCTTTGGTTTGACCTTGCATTCAGTCTTAGTTCTACTCTCCTCGGATGTTCCTAATTTTGGGGGCGAAATTTCCTTTAGAAGGTAGGTTGTAATGACCCAGTCATTTTCCTCCCTTTGCTTTTTCTCAACTTTTACGAATAAATTATTTTTTTCGTTTAATTTTCTTTTCCGATTTCTGTTTATCGACGCTAAGTGTCGTCGCTAGTGCTCAGAAAAAGTTTTCGAGATTCTTTCCCTTGGATTAACAACTTCCTTTAAGGACCGAGTCATTTCCATATTTTCACTTTTTGGACACTATTCACTTTTTGTCCTTTTCCCTATTTTATCTTTTCCTCGTTTGTCACTTTTTGGCACAACCTTACTTTCCGTGCTTGAAATTGGTTTTCGACTTCACGTATCTTCATTCTAAGTGGTTTTCACGAAATACGTATCTTTACTTTTGCAATAAAGTACTCTGGTTGCTCCCGGTG